CCTCTGTGGTGTAGCAATGGCTATGATCCTGGTGCCATGGTGCCATCAGCCCCCGCTGGCCCACCAAGATCAGCTCTTCAGGCTTCCCATGATGGAGCAGGCACCTGATATCCTTTTGATAAACTGTCCTCCTGCAGGCATCAGTCAGAGTCCATGTGGGTGCCCTGGATCTGAAAAGCCCCAGGTTCTCTTACACACAGGGAGCAGTGCAAGAATGAGAGGCCTAGGCCCCTCCCTAGATCTCCCAGGCCTGACACAGGAGGTGATGGCTCTGGAGAGAGGAGAGAAGGGAGATGCTGGGTCCCTCAACTGCAGCAACAGAGGCTACTGGATGAAAAGGAAGCATGGCCCTGCCTCCAAGGGGTCCCCGGTGGAGGGACAGCATGAGAGCAAAGGCAGGGTTCCATTTTTTTACTGTACTTGTAATTACTGCATTTCATAGACACCACTTCTTCCTTCTTTACAGATTGAAGTTTGCCGCAATTTGCATGGAACAAGTCTGTTGGTGCCACTTTCCTGAAAGCTCAGGCGATTGTTAACATCTTTTAGCAATAAAATATTTTTAAATTAAGGGATATGCATTGTTTTTAGACACAATCTACTGCACACAAAATAAAGCATGGTATAAATACAACTTTCCTATGCACCCAGAAAACAAAAAGTTTGTGTGAGTTGCTTCCTGGTCACTTTTGCCTTATTGCAGTGACCTGGAACTCACCCTGCAGTATCTCCAAGGTATACATGCAATCCAGGCCCAGGTGGAGGGCAGAGAGCTATCGGAAGCTCAAGGAGAGGGCCAGGTCAGGCACCAGAGAGGGCTTCCATGTCAGAGTGCAGCCAAGTGAAAGAAAAGAAAGGAAGGAAACAGAGAGCAGGCAGTCAGTCACTGGAGAGTCTCTGCCATTTCCAAGGCCTCAGTTTCTCCATTTGCGGGATCTGCAAGAGCTTTGTCTGGATCATCAACAGAAAGGAGTTGACGTTTTACATACTAACAATAATTAATCCATCATGGCTGCCTACACTGCTTGGATAAGAAGGATCCTGGGTTGGCAGAGGTACAGTCGATTAGTGATGTCTGCCCCAGCCAGGCATAGAGGATAGAGGAGACGTTTGCTACCGTGTCCATTGCCTTTGGAGTCCCACTGTCCATTATACTGCTGACCTAATCCCACAGGTCCACACTGGACTCCACCCTGTGTATAGTGGAAATGACCCTCTCTCAGTCACAAAAGAGGGCAAGCTCATCTCCTCGCAGCTCCATACACAGTGACCCCTTACTGACATCTTGGACTCTGCCATGATGGGAGATTTACACCATGAAACTGGCAAATGCTACAGGTCAGGCCTTCTCCTTCATCACATGCTGTTAAACATTTAGTAACCCACTAATGACCCTGCTTTTCCCCACAGCAGGTCAGTACTGGGAAGAGAGGGAGTCCAGGGCCTGAGCCCTGGCCCTCATGTCCTGGAGAGTCTGCAGATGCTGAAGACAGATGGTTCCATCAGAGGCTCCCACCCCCTGCCACCTTCCGGATGTGTAATCCCAATTCCTGTCCCTGCACACACCCCACTTAGCAACTAAAGCTCCTTCCCCAATAGCGCACCTATCTTCTTCCTCCGGGAACCCCACTGAAACTGAGTTAGTCCCCAAATATCCCCCATTCTGTGTTTGATAGACCTAGGCAGAAAACTGTCTCCGTGGGAGAGCTCTCAGGTCAAGAGCTACATCTCCTCCCTCTTAAGGTCCCAGGCCTGGCCATGGAGCAGATACACCCAAGAGCATCTCCTGCCTGAGAGGCCCATTCCTGTCTCCCGACACCCTTCATCCCCAAGAAGGACAGCTGACACCCAGAACAGCACGCAGCTGCCTGACAGTAGCCTGGTTTACTCATACTAGGGTCAAAGTGTTCATATGCCCACCACAGAGTCCCGGAAACAAAGGCTGTGCCCACAGAGGGCTAGAGGTTGCTCAAGGTCCCAGAGCCACCCAACAGCAGAGCCAAGACAGAAGCCTTGAGCGTGGGTACCCCAGTACTTTCTGACTCTCTCCTCAGCTCACCCCGGCCTCCCTAACAGGCTGTAGCACATCCAGGCCAGAGTTTGGGGGCTCCTCCTACTCCTCTCTTCACCTCTGGTGTTGGACAGCATCAAGTTCCAGAGTGGCCTCACAAACAGGTGAACCAGGACCCCAGGCCCTCACGGGCCACCCTTTCCTGCAGGTTGAAGCCCCAATGCAGCCTGCTCAGGCTGCACTTGGGGCCTCTCCTCCCAGCTCTGGCTCCTCAGGCTGCTGCTTAACATGCACACAGGAACCTCCACACTGAGCGTATAGATTTCTCTTTGTCTTTGGTGGTAATTATTAGCTGTCTCTGCGGGTGAATGCAGGCAGAAACAAAGGCAGCAAGGGTTGTAAAACCTTTTATCTCGATCAGGCCGCATTATTTGATAAGGTGCTAAGCTAATAGCAACGCATGTCAAATTGTGTTTAGACAGATCGAGGGGCTGGCAATGGAGGGTGTATTTGTCTCCGGAAACTCACACCTGGAAGATGAAGGAGAAAGGTGCGCTGGTCTCCGCAGCCCTGTGCTGAATGCTGGGTCCTGGCATAGAGGCTGAGAAGGAGACAGAGAGGACCCACACTGTGCTCATTTGCATCCAGCCCAGCTCAGGGCTTTACCCAGAAAAGGGTGGGATTCAAATCCAGGTTCCCTGACTCTCCTGCCTCCAGCATTATTAAGCCCCAATGGGCACATCTGTTCCATGCACAACATTGATCCTTACAGACCAAGTCACACCCTACAGGATATGGCGTGGGATTAGTTCTAAGTCTCATGCTGCCTGGAGATGGGGCCTACAAGGGATGAAGGGGTGTCAACTGGACCTTGCAGGATGAGAAGGGTTTAGCATGAGAACCTGGGAGGAAGCACCCTCAGCACCCAGCTCCAGACTCCTCCTGTGAGCTCACTGGCTGGTGGCTCTTAGTTGTCTTCACGGGCCCTGCCAGGCACTTTCTCCAGCCTGCCTTCCCCAAGGTACGACCATGGCTGGCTCCTCTGTACCAACTGAGAGCTGCAAAGTGACAAGGCAAGCAGAAGTCCCAAATGCCACAAATCCTTGTCAAAGCCTTGGGGCCAGCGGCTCTATGCCTAGGAAGGGTCCCCAAGGCATAACTAAGCATGTGCACAGGTGTTGAGCTGAAGGATGTCCCTCAAAGGAATGGTTATAATAGCAAAAAAAAAAAAAAGAAAAGTAAAAAACACAGACAAGCTTTACTGTGAAGTTGCGCTGGGTCAACTGAGAGAAATACTTAGGACATTCGCATGAAGTTGTGCACAGGTGCCTATCAGTCAGTTGATTTTAGCTGGGTTCTCCCTGCAGTGACCCAGGACTCAAATGCAGGTGGACCTGAAAGCAGGGCAGTGAGGCCAGGAAGGACAGCAGCCAGTAGTGGACACATTTCCATGTCAGCATCCACGGTGGGCTCGGAGCACAACCCTCTGGGGATACCTAGGATCAACAGGAAACGCTGGTCCTGAGTCCTCCTGCCGAGGCCTGAGGGAGTCAGGATCTTGCCCGATCCCTTCAGCCATTCACTGGGGCTGCTGGGGCCCAGGACAGTGACAGTCCCTAGTACTCCTGGCCTGGCCCAATACTCACGACAAGAGCAAGCCCTCAGGCAGCACATCCCATGAGCCCAAGGAGGGGGAATGCAGACCAGCACTGAAGAGGCAGAGCCAGGCACATGAGCAGGGTTCGGTTCTGTCTACTACAATCTGTGCTTCCTGACCCGAAGCTTTCCAACTGGGCAGAGCTAGGCTAAATGAAGACAAACCTGTCCCTTTGCTTCAGGACACCTCATGGCACAGGGACACTGGTGAGGTCCAAGAGCATTTCCTTGACTCCCTGACTCTATCCTGAACGCATTCACCAGTACCCCAGGCTTCCTGTCCCTTATCCCTAGGCATACCTGTTAGGGCCTCACCATGGGAGACACTGTCACAGTGCCTTATTAGCATGGGAAAATGGAGGAGGTAGTTTCTTACAGCACTGGCCCCAGATGCTCCCATATGCTTTGTGTGTGCAAAAGGTTTTGTTGTTATGTTGTTTTGTTTTGTTTTGTCTTTTTGAGACAGGGTCTCTCTCTATGCAGTTTAGCCTGGCCTTGAGCTTACTTTGTAGCCCAGGCTGGTTTCAAACTCACAACGATCCTCCTGCCTCAGCCTCCCGAGTGTTGGGGTTATAGGCATATACCACCACGCCTAATTTGTATGTATAAAAAGAGACTGCCCAGCAATTTCTGGTTTCCAGTTTGACCCCAGAGGAGGAACAGAATCCTCACTGTCCCAATAAACTAAGCCTGAGGCTCAGTGGAAGTGATCCAGCAGCTCTATCACAAGGGGAAGCTAAATAAACTCCAGCAGGTCCATGCGAAGAAGGAACTCCACCCAGCAGTTACAACAAATGAGGTAGCACGACGTGTAGTGACACTAAGGGGACCCTGAGACTAATAGTTGGGTGACAAGATCAAAGTGTAGAGCAATACACGCAGTGTGATATCATTTGTGTTAGGGGGAAAAATATCCTAACACACTAAAAATAAACCCATGCATCTCCGTGTGAACAGATATAAATGTGTCTGCACACTTTCTAAAGATCAGGAACGATATACATGGAAATTGTCACCATGAATACTCCTCTGGAAAGGGAGCCAGGGTTGTAGAGGGGGAGAGAAGGCTTCAGCATGGTCTGTATTGTTTGAATTCCTCAAACGGGAATGTGTTCCTGTATTACGTGTGTAATTAAAAATAAATGAAAATGTTCTAAAGAAGCGAAAGAAAAAAGGCTTGGTGGTATAGCCAACAAAACACCAAAATATTTACAGGGCTTGTGTCTGAGTGCTAGGATTATGTGTGTTTTTCATTTTCTTCTGTTTGCTTATCTGTGTTTTAATTTTTTTCTCTCCAAAGAGCATATATTGTTTTTGTAATAAGAGGAGGAAAAACATGAAGTAATTTTTAATTAAATATCCACTACACCGCCGCCACCACAACCTCTGCCGCCGCCCAGGCAGGGAGCTGTCCCCTCTGCCCAGTACCCCTCCCAAGCAGGCCCCTGGACACCCTCCTTGGGCCTGTGTGTGTTCCCCCACCCAACGGCAGGCCTAAGACCTGCACTGTCTCTTTCTGAGGGTCAGTGGAAACATGACAGGTCTGATCAGGAGCCATGGCTGGTGGCCAAGTCCAAGGGCCACTCGTGGACCTGAGGCTGCACGTCTTCCCAGGGAGCCTGCTGGAATCCAAAGTCTGGCTGTTCCAAGAAACGTGAGAGATGCAAATCAAACACGTGAGCGGTGCCCGGGTAGAGGAGCTGGGTCTCCTCCCAGTGAGTCTGAGTGTCAGATTTTCCACTCTGTTTCTCTGAGCATGTTCTGCACATCCCAGTGCTAAAAATAACCGCAGCATTCGAGTGACGGGGGGAGTGGCCCCCAAGTGACTCCTAGAGCCGGAGGAGCCAGCTGGGCATGACAGCCTCCCTTCATCTGGGCAGCACAGACCCAGCCAAAGAGATTAGGGGTCAGTTCTTGCCACATGGACCTCTCCAGTGGGACTCTTCCGCCCTCCTGCCCTGGGTGTGCAAGGTCTTCCTCCCCCAGAAGCCCCAGGGACCCTGGAAGCTCTGGAAATCTCAAGGACACAAAAGACAAAGGGTTCATCTCATCCACCCCTGGGAGATGCCGTCACCCCTAAGTCCCTCAGGACAACAAAGAAAGTCCCCTGGGTCTAGAACCTGTCCTGGAATCTAGTCAAATGGCCCACAGTTCTCACTACTAGGAAAGTCATTCCTTGCATCTAGCCTCCTGTAGCCAAAGTATGGTTCCTATGCTCTTCCCCCTAGAAAAAAGAAAGAAAATGAGTGATCCAAGTTCACATCCACTGAATGCGGGGCAGATGTGCGCACCAGTGGTATCACCTGTCCTGAGAGCCAGGGATGCCCACACCCAAGCAAAAAGGAGGAAGGTGCCCTTCCCACCTCCAGATAAAACTCAAGTAAGCAGGCTTGCTTGGCCTAGGGTCAAAATGCCTTTTCCTCTCAATGTTCCTGCATGCACTGCCTGCTGATCAGCCATAAGGACATGCATGTCCCAGGCCAGGGAAAGGCCACAGGAGACCCTATAGCCAATGTGTCACCTGACCCTCCACTGGCTTATGGTTGAGCCTAGGTTCCTATGGAGTCGAGTGTGGACGGAAACTCACCCCATCAACCTACTGTACAGAGATCAGGGTCAGAGCGCAGCCCAGGGCACCTGGCTTGGGGGCCCTGAAGCAGCTGTTGCCTGAACCACATGGAAGAGATGGAGTGTCTGGACACAGCAGGGCGGCCTGAGGCAGCAGGGAATGCTAGGGACAAGGACTTTTGGGGGTCAACTGAGGTTAAGTGGACAAGGTTGAGAGCCACTGAGTGGATTGATTTGAACTCAGGCCACGTTGAATTCTAACAAAGGGAAATGCTTAAAAATGATTTTGTGGGGGCTGGGGATTTAGCTCAGTGGCATAAGCACCTGCCTTGCAAGCAGGCGGTCGTGAGTTCAGTCCCCAGTACTGATAAAAAAAAAGGTGATTTTGTGAGAGTGAAGGGACACAATAAATATGATGGAATAAAGAAAGCTAAGGCCCCATGGGCACCTCCAGTAGTACTGGGATCCTGGGCTTGTGGAAAGGCCTGATGAGAGCCAGACACAGTGGGACCAGAGTTCTGGGATGGAAGCTGGTGCTGCTGTGGGGAGGGTGCTAGCTGGAGGACATAGTGGCAGTGAGGTGATAAGGGGTGAACCCAATGAAGCAGGCAGCCCCAGAGATGCGGCAGTGTCAGGGCTGGGACACATGCAGGTGCAGTGCACGTGGGCCCTGGGAGAGCTGGAAAAGTCAAAGTACAGCCTTGAGGACCACACGTCCCCTCTAAGCCTCAGTTTCCCTCTACCTCTTCAGGAGGGGTGCAGCTCCTCATGGGGCAGCTGGAGCACCAATGCGTCTGGGAATCTGGAAGAGGCCAGAGCACTTCCACCTCCACCCTCAGGGCAGGAGCAGGAGCTGGAGCTGGAGGGGCCAAATTAGGACAGAAGAACCCAGGAGAAGCCAGGCGAGGGGGCACCTGGAACTTGGGACAGGACTGCCACTCCTCTCACACCGTCTCTTCCTCCCGGCTGCTCTAGCCTTCTCCTGGGTCTGAGAAACGCAGAGGGGCAGAGAGAGCAACATAGAGGAGAAGGCTGACCTTCCAGCTCAGGTCTGCTGTCTGTGAGCTGTGCAAACCAGAAACAGTCCCTTGACCTCTCTAAGCCTCAGTATCTTCCTGAGTGAGGGAAGAGAAGGATGATGACTATGCTAGCACCCCCGGGGCCTTGATGTCAGCCACATCGAGCTCTGTATGCCCGATGACAGCTCAGTGGGGTGGGCACAATCACTGTCAATGTTAACTGCTCTTCCATGATACCTCCAGCACTGTCACCCACCCAGCCGCTCTCTGGCCACACGGCCATGAAGGGGCTGTATTCTGTGGCCTCTGCACTCTGAGTGGATCCATGACAGCTTTGCCCAGAAGAAGCCATGAGAAGTGACACTTTAACACCCACAGGCCCTTACCTAGGAGGACACGTCCTATAGCACTTCCTGTATCCTAGGAGAGACCTGCCATGTAAAAAATGCCACCACTCTGAGGCCACTGTGCTGAGGAAGACTCAAGTCACATGCAGAGGACCTGAAGGAAGAGAAACTACATAGGAAAAGAAGCCAGGGACCATGCAGGGCCAGATGTGTGTATCCACAGTCCCCACCAACCTCAGAGGAGACCCTGGAACACTTAGCCAGCCCCAGGAACTGGGAGCCATAATAATAAATTGCTCAAAGCTCCTAAATTTGGAGTGGTTGTTGCACCTCCATAGAGACCAGATAATGTCTCCCCACTCCACTGCCTGCTGCAAGCTGGAAGGCCACCAGGAAGAGAGAGGGAAGAGGAAAGACGGGGAGGGGGAGGCTGGGAGTCCAGAAACCTGGGCACAGGGCATCGTCAGTCCCTTGGCCTCTAGGCACCAGGCAAAGGAGAACCCGGCCTGGCTCGTGGTCCTCACACACGAACTGGGGAAGCAGAAGCCGTGCATACCAGTGCACAGCCTACTGGCTCCCGCGCTGGCCTCTCCTCTCCTGTTACATCAGAAGCTGGGGTCACTGACCCATAGGGCCTATTCTGGCTGGGTCCCCACCATGGAGGACATCATAGTCCTGGTGTGTCCAGCACAGCAAGGTATACTGGGTTCAGAAGGCCCACTGAGCCAGCAGAGGAGCTGGACAGCAGAACCGCGGGTCTGAGGCCACTGGGCTCCAACTCATGCTGGGCACCATGCCAGGATCTTTCCATGATGATCCTGTTTCATCCCCACCCTCATCCAAACAGCCAAGGGTGGTGGTGCACGCCTGTAATCCAGCACTCACTGCATAGTGAATTCAAGGCCAGTCGGAACTACAAAGCAAGACCCTGTCTCAAAAAGAAAAAATCAAATAACCCACCATCATCCAGAGAGGCAACGATTGCTACTGTCTCATTTTTCAGGTGAGGAATCTGAAGCTCGGTGACATCAGTTGACAAGGTCAAAATCACACAGCTGAGAATGTGAAGCCAAAATTTAAACCCCAAGGACAGCTGACTCTGGGGCTCTCCGTCTTACCTACTGCATTACATCACCACCAGTCACTCTGTGCTTCCCACGCACCCGCAGCTACGTGCGCACGCAGAGACGCAGACCGGAGCCTGAACCTACGGTGTGCGTGAGCGGACACACCGCGCGTGGGACCTCCAGTTCCTGCTGAAACCACACACACATGGTCCCATCTGTAGACCAATGCCTCTCCAGCGCTCAGGCTTGGTCACCCAGGTCTCGCCAGCATTCACACGTGTGCACACACCCTGTGTTCCAGCCCCACACACTCTCATGCAGACACACACACCACACATCCACATCACACGCATCGCTCGCACAAACACTGCACCTTGTTTAATGATGCCCAGGAAATGAGAGTCATTATTTTTATTTAAAAAAAAAAAAAAAAAAAAAAAAAAAAAAAAAGCTCTCAAATGCCAATAGATTCCAGTGGTTTTTTTAGTGCTAAAATGTTTCCCAAGCAAAAGTCGCCCAACAGTGCCACCTGCTGAAGGCTGGCTGTTCTTGACATCTCCCCTCCTGCCTCTCCCACTCTCAGCTGTCTGAGGCCCTTCCTCAGTTTCCCCAAAGTGTTCAGTATTTGGGAACTGAGTTGAGGGAAGAGGGGAGACCTGGTACAGATGGGCAGAAGAGGGGAAGTGCTGCAGCAGGTGCCACGGAGAAGGGTGAGGGAGATGAGGGAGGGGAAGCAGGGGAGAGGGGACCAGCAGCCCCAGAGAAGGCGAGAGAGGCTGAGCAAGAAGGCCTGGAGGGAGAGCCAGCGTGCTGGAAAGCAGAGAGACCGAGAGTGGGGAGAGAGGGAAGAGGAGAAAAGGAAGGGGCAGAGGGGAAGCTGGTACAGCTCCCCATGCACCCAGGATTGAGTCTCAGAACAACCTTACCATGTGGCTGGGTCCTGCCTCTCTTGGTGGGGCTCTGGGGGGACCTGAAACTGGGAAGCCCTGTGACTCCTCAGCAATGGCGGTCAAGTGGCTGCTGCCCTGCCCCACTTACCAACACCCTATGTGGTCCCCCCATACACACACACACACACACACACACACACACACACACACACACACTTCCAGCTGCTTAGGAGCAGCTACACTCTGCAGGGTGGGCTTGTATGTGAACTGTCTGGCCTGCTGCTGGGGCACAGGGAGAAAAGGAATGTATTTGAGGCCACACAGGAGCCCTGAGGAGCCAGTCTGGAAGCTTCTGGGTCCAGGCCCAGCCCTTCATTCTCTGTCAACCCAGGCAAGGGTCCACAGCCTCTTGCATCTCAGGAGAGCTCCCGAGGAAAGAAAGATTTGACAGAGGTTTTCAATCACAGACATCCTGGGAAGCATCTAGGCGCAGTTTGGAGGCTGGGGAGACAAAGATGAGTCCTCTGGGAGGAGACCAGGATGCTACCACCATCTCAGGAAGCTTTGGGCCATGTTAGGTCCAGAGAGCACCCCAGACTTTGACTCTGGGCTGTTGGTTCTGAGAGCCCAGGATTCTTCCTGTGAGGACAAAGCACAGGGGAGTGGGTCTGGAAGAGGGGAGGAAAACTCCAGCCTGCCCAGGCCAGCCCCCCCACACACACACACAAAGGGAACCAACCCCTTCATTCCCGAGGCCTGGGTTCCCTGGAGGTGGGGACTAGGGCCTTCATCCTGCCCTGCTGGCCCTGCACTCCGGTCTCTGCTTCTCCCAAGGGAACACCGCCTCCCACAGAAACGTAACTGGCAAGGAAAGTCTTGGGTAACTTCCTTCCCAGTGCTGCCTCAGATGCCCCCTAAACTCTGCCTGAGTCACAAGGCACCACCCCTCTCACCTTGGAGGAAAGGAACCAGCCCTCCCACTGCAGCGCTGAAGCCCCACTGCACACAGCAGGTGCTGCCTGGGATCTCATTTGCATATGGTTTGCATATGCTTTCTGACTTCTCAAAATACCAGGGAACCACGCCCCTACCCCAGTCTATAACTTCTCAGCATTCACAGGCCCTGCAGACTTTCACAGACTTCTACCTGTCTAGCCCCAGAAGGGCTTCAGCTGTAAATCAGAGCAGTTCTAAACTCCCTGAAAAAGATGGCCTGGCTCCAAGTCCCGCTGCTCAGCTCCTGCCACGCCAGACCATGCAGCCCTCCCTGGAAACACCCCACATTTCTCTCCAAAAGTAGCGTGGTGGTGATGCCTGCCTGCAATCCTAGCACTCAGGAGGCAGAGGCAGGAAGATCACAGCAAGTTGGAGGCCATCCTGGGCTCCACCGTGAGTTCAAAGCCAACCTGGAATATGCAGAGACACCCTGCACATTAGCTTTTCAACCCCGCCACCTCTGGATACAGTGCCCGCCTCTGGGTACTCCAGTACTTCAGCTGGTTAACAACCAGCCATCAGAAGGAGATTTGTCCTATTACCAAATCATACTGTCCAGCACCTGTGTTTCCTGTTAGTAAATTCACTGAGGCCAGGGTCCAAGGAGGGTCCATTAGTGATACCGGAGCCTACTGACCAGCGCAGCCCCAATGAAACAGGAGACGCTCTTGTGGACGACAGTTAACTGCTGCTTTATTTACGCGGGCTCTGGTTTATATATTTGGCCGTGACCAATCACAGGCTGCCACGAGGAAGCAGGGCGGGAATGGGACGCAGGCTCTGGCTACTATATCCAGCTGTGGCCAATCAGGAGTTGCCACAGAGTACGGAGTGAGCACGAAGTGCGCACGGGTTGGCTAATTTAAAGAGGGACGTAGCGCACTGCGGAAGCTGGCGTGGTCCTTAGTCCCGGGTGGGGTATGGTATGTTGAGCGCCTGCGCCCAACACCTACAACTCCTGGCCCTGGATAAATGGTTGCTCAAACAGTGTTTGATGAATGAATAAATGAGTGAATGAAGTTGATTTCTCTGAGAGTCCTCCTGCTCCAATGTTCTCTGATTTCCCTCCTTGGAGGTGAGCCCCAGTTGGGTAAAATAAGGCTAGTTTTTTCCCCCCAAAATTTTACAATATGAGACAAGGTGGAACAGAGGGTCCTCAAGTACCCAGCTCCCTGTGGACCCTCATCTGCTTTTGCATACCCAACTCTCCCCACGCCAAAGCCTCAAGCAGGATCCAGCCCCCAGGTGAGACCCCAGGTGCCCACAGGTTAGCAAGGCAAAGGGGACCAAGGCTGCTGCTAAGAACCAAATAACCAAGCAGGGAAATTTACCATCAGATAATTGGCAGCTCTGGTGCACAGTCAAATGCAGTAAATTAAGTGTTTTCCCGTAAATCAAGTTTATGATTTGCACTGGAGATGTAATTGTTAAAACTGTTCATTTTACCCACAAATAGCAGTTGAAAGAAACCAATTTAGGAGTGACAGATTGGTTTTGATTCTAAATGTAGTGCTAAAACAGTTAATTTTAATAACATCCATTGGACAGGAGTCTGCTTGTTACTTAATATCATAGTCAACAATTTGAAAACTGCACATTCAGCCTAGGCTGCTCCTGATAAAAATTAATCCCATTTTTTCCCCAGTGGAGGTGTTTCTCAGCAGGAAGCAGCTCGTTCACACAGGCGGGCTTTCCTTGCCTTGTGCCCATGGTGATGTCTCCTAATGCAGAGGAAGGAGGCCATGGGAAGTTCAGGTACAGGCTAACCCAGACAGGATAGGAACTGTACGGGACCACAGGTGGGACAAAAAGGGTCTTTTCTCAAAAGAGAACAGCCTCATTGGCAGTCCCTATGATGCCCACACACCTCCGAGGTCAGCCTCACCTGCTGTGCCTGCTATCCCCTAGGACATTGCCTGGCTCCACCACCTGAAACGGTGTGGACATCCACTCGGTTCTACACAGACCTCCAGTGGCTGAAGAGTCCACAGGTCACTATGGCATGTCCATACCCTCCCCGCCACCCACTCAAGGGACACAGGCAAGTGTGGTGTGCAGGAAGGGCCCTGAACACAGGAGGGTGCCCATCAGGTAATTCTGAATGTACAGGCTGGTGTTATCTTCCAGTGAGGTACCATGCTGCTCACCAGCCCAAGACAGGCACCCCAATCTGTCACCATGTAACCTGGCTTTGTGGTGTCCAAGCCACCACATTAATTTTGTCACACGCCAACTTGAATCCTAAGCGTTCGGTGGGCATTGGGCTCCCTGGACTGGAAGCCCACTAAAACCCTTGACAGACTCCAGCTCTGCTCCCTAGAGCCAGGGCTTCCCAAATGCTCCATGGATCTGAACCCCTGCCCCACTTAGCCAGACTGGGCAGAGCTAAGGAGTCCGTATCTCTAGCAAGCTCTCGGGGAGCTGGTCCTGCCAGCCAGCAGACCTACCAGTATCACCACCCCCAGCCACTGCAGATGGAAAGCTGGGCCCAGAGAGACCACAGCCCTAACAACCTCTGAACACCCAGGCAGCCTCCGCCGCATCCTCCAGGGCCTTGCCGAGAGCCTGATCCTCCCCAAGACATCTTGAGGCCCTGGAGACACCCCATCAGCAAGATGTACAGAGCAGCTCATCCACCCAGTTTGCATTCAATTAATTTCAAGAGGCCTTGAAAAGGGAAACTTTCCCAGAAAAAAAGAAAAGCCTGTTCACTTTCATGGCCACCACTTGGAGGAACACTCTGGAGCCTACGCAATCGCCTATAGAGTCCATTATAAAGGGAAGCCTAAATCACATTTATGGCTCATACTGTACAGCAAATGTTGGTATTAAAATTGTTCCTCTTAAGTGATAAACATCCAGGGGAATGGCGCGAGGGAGCCGCATCAGACTGTTTTCACCCAAAACAAACTGACTCAGGAAAGGCAGTAAACAGGGAGTTTGACTGCAATCCTCTAACTGCTCTTCCCCCAAGAACGGGAGGGAGGAGGCGACCGCAGAGGAATTAGTGGCGGAGAGAAGTTTGTTTTGCACAACATCCACCCCTCCCTCGGTTCTGTCTTCCCCAAGAGCTGAAAGTAAACATTTCTCCCCCAAAGGGCTACTGTGCCCTGTGGGATAGGTATTTTTATCTTCTCGCCGAGTTTCGGATCAAGAGGCCTCTGTTTTACTGTGCATATCACAATGATTGTGGTTTTGTTTTTGAGAGAGAAGTAATGGAAAAAATAGTTAATCACCCATTCATAATCTCTTAAACATT